ATGGGTGAAGGAGGTGGTGGAGAAAGAAGGTGGAAGGCGGTCGTCTATGGTGGATGGGTGAAGGAGATGGTGGAGGAAGAAGGTGCAAGGTGGTTGGCTATGGTGGACGGGTGATAGAGGTGGAGGAGGAAGATGGTGGAAGGTGGTTGGCTATGGTGGATGGGTGAAGGAGATGGTGGAGGAAGAAGGTGCAAGGTGGTTGGCTATGGCGAATGGGTGAAGGAGATGGTGGAGGAAGAAGGTGCGAGGTGGTAGGCTATGGTGGATGGGTGAAGGAGGTGGTGGAGGAAGAAGGTGGAAGGTGGTCGGCTATGGTGGATGGGCAAAAGAGGTGGTGGAGGAAGAAGGTGGAAGGTGGTCGGCTATAGTGGATGGGTGACGGAGATGGTGGAGGGAGAGGGTGGAAGGTGGTTGGCTATGGTGGATGGGTGAAGGACATGGTGGAGGAAGAAGGTGGAAGGTGTTTTGGGTTGTCCTTTGGACATCCGGGCAAGGTGGACGGCTATGGTGGATGGGCGAGGGACATGGAGGAGGAAGAAGGTGGAAGGTGTTTTGGGTTGTCCTTTGGACATTCGGGCAAGGTGGACGGCTATGGTGGATGGGTGAGAGAGACGGAGGGGGACGAAGGTGGAAGGTGAAGAAAGTGCGAGGTGGCTTGGCTCCGTGTTGTCCTCTAGCCCAAGTGTCCAGGCTCGTCGCCCGACCTTCTCCCTAATCCCCGGAGGCAAAACACAGTCCACAACACTTTATCCCACAGCTAATATGCAGAAAACTCAGATTTTGCAGCAGACACCGTTGGCAGAAAATCACAGAATTTGCAGATTTCCAGATTACGGCAACTTGCCGTTTTGCTGTTTTTTTTGCTAAGTATGAAAAATCGGAATACACAGGCCTGTGTTTCCTACCTCAAACGACCTTAGAATCATTTAAAACTTGGTGGGCCCTCTCATTGTGTCACAGGGAAGGCCCCTGCAAAATTTGGTTTGATTCTGACGCCGTTTGGATGAAGTTGCCTATTTCGGGCGCCGTCCGGGCCTCAAGGCGAACAGTTGGGGGAAGTCCATTTTCTGATTTTTCAGCAAAACGGACTCCGATGGCCTGGCCTGCTAGGTCTGCAGACCATCTGTTTATGCCTAGGATATGAGGTGTGAGAAGTCTTGGCCCTCATATCCTTGTTTCAACGGGATTTTCACTGTCGTGCCACCGGGCCACATTGGCCCATTTTTCCGTACTCCGGACGGTCTTGTGCCGTTGGTCGGTGACCTACCCTTTTCTTGTGGCAGCAGTCCGTGCTGGCCAGTTCTCAGCAGCAGTTACAGTCCTACAACTATTCAGCAGAAAAAGCCAAAGTAGAGGTTTAAACAGTTGAAAAACA